AAGGAAGAGTATGAATAAACTATTCCAAAATAAATAAAACTATCATGGAGTTTGTTGTAGGTTTAGTTTATTGATTAGACAAAAAGCAGATGAACTTTAAACACATTGAAAGCATTAGAAAGAGATTAATGAATGAATAAAATAAATAAAAATTATTTGTTCATGAAAATAATAATGGCATAAAATAAGAATATCAATAATTTTGAATTCAAATTACGAGTTGCACATGAATGACTTGATGTTTGAAAGTGTGAAGTCATTGTTGATGATATTTGTGTTATACCATTAGTTGAGCTGTTGTTTTCTGATGTCATAGCCATTGCTGAGATTGAACCTGTTGTTGAAGGTGTAACCCCAGCTAACGTTGAAACTATTGTTGATGCTGTGACTGATTCTGTAGCTGATCCTGTGGTTGTCCCTGCGGCTAATCCTGTGACGTGATCTGTGACTGGACCCGCGGTTGATACTGTGGCTGGTCCTGTAGCTGATTCTGTGGTTGAATCTGTGACTGATTCTGTGATTGAACCTGCGGCTGAGCTTGTGGCTGGTCCTATGACTGTACTTGTGGCTGAACTTGCGGCTAATGCTGTGACTGAAACGGTGGTTGATCCTGAGGCTGATGCTGTGGCTGATCCTGTGGTTGGACCTGTAACTGATCTTGTGATTGAACCAGCGGTTGATGCTGGTACTGAACCTGGGGCTGATGCTGTCACTGACCCTATGGTTGAACCTGTCGCTGATCCTGAAGTTGAATCTGCGGCTGATACTGTGCCTGAACCTGCGGCTGATCCTGCAACTGAACTTGTGGCTGATCCTGTAATTGAACTTGTGACTGATCCTATAGCTGATCCGATGGTTGTACCTGCGGTTGATCCTGCAACTGAACTTGTGACTGATCCTGTAGCTGAACCAGTGACTGATCCTGTGGTTGCACCTGCAACCGAACTTGTGACTGATCCTGCAGCTGATCCAGTGGTTGCATCTGCGGTTGATCCTGCAACTGAACTTGTGGCTAATCCTGTAATTGATCCTGTGACTAAACCTGTGACTGATTCTGTGGTTGAACCTGTCGCTGATTCTGTGACTGAACCTGCGACTGATCTTGTGGCTGAACTAGCGAATGATTCTGTGATTGAACCTGTGGTTGCACCTGCGGCTGATCCTGTAACTGAACTTGTGGTTGAACCTGTAACTGATCCTGTGGTTGTATCTGCGGCTGATCCTGTGATTGAACCTGCGATTGGTGTTAAAGCGGATAGTATAGTTGTCGAGTTGTTTAATACTGAAACAGATAGAATATAACGTTTAAAAAAAAGTAGTTGATACATTAGAGAAAATAAATTAGAAGAGGTTGTGTTTGATAAATATTTCATAATCGATATTTTTAAATAAGTCCTGTTTACGGTTTTTATTTAAATATATGAATGTCTTTAATTATCAATTTCCTGTAATAGTATTCTAAGGTTTCTAATTTACTGTTTGATTATGATTTATTCATCTATATAGATACATTCTATTTTTCAATAGAATAGCAAATGTACGAACCATTGTTAAAAAAGAAAAGATAAGTAATTTCTCTTCTTTTTCACATCAATTCCAGTTTTAATAGTTAAGATTTTACTTTTCTTTCCTCTTTAGTACTAATAAATTGCAACTTTCTTATTAGCCGAGTAGTTAATAAAATCTAATATTAAAATGGAAAATAAAATTTTTGTAATAAAGATTTTTTCATAGAATTCTATCTTATCTAAAAGATCCTAAATCAGATTTTTATTTGAGCTGATAATCTAATTCTTATGTTTTCTTATACTTTATGTTTTTATACGAAATGCAAGAATTTTGTAATCAATCTAAGTTTAAGTTAAGCTAATTGAACAACTGACATAGCATTATCGAGTATAATAATAATAAATAGAATAGAAGAAAGTAAAAACTTCTTATTGAGATACATTTTTTTACTGCAAAATATTGAAAAAAATTCTCAACATAGAAAGAAAAAGAATATTTAATCCAATATCTACAAAACAAACTTAAAATTCTATGAGTTCAATTAACTAGAAGAAATACAGAAACATCGATTTACTATAGACATAGAAGATGTATGCGCCACTTGTAGTTTGTATTCTATTTTCTCATCATATAATCTTATCAATCTTAACTAGATATTTCAAATTACAAACAAAACATCAACTAAATATTACATACTGGAATTATCTTTATAACTTTTCAAATGAGTATACATCATGAAAAAAATGCATTATTTCATCATATTATTTTCTATTCATTTGATATTGTAAAAGTGCGTTGCTATAAACGCTTAGTTGCATCCTATTATTATAGTTTCATACAATGCTTTTACATATTAAAACAACTTTTTTTTCTAAACTATTTAACAGTTACTCTTCAATTAAAATAAATATTACAAAATCAATTCTTGGATATATCCTTGTATAATAAATAAACTCAAGTCATGTTTAAAACCTATATTCTATATGCGTCACAAATTAACACATCTAATGTTTACATTTTTTTTTATAAACTTTTATTTCTAATTACTTATTCGTTTCAAATAATTTTCTACTCACTTGCTGATGCTGTAAGACTATTAGTAGTAAGTAAAACAGCAATTGTCGTATCTATAACAAAAACACATGATCATATTATTTAGATATTTTTTTTTGAATCAATATATTCTATCTTACTTTGAAATGTAGTAGCAATTGATGTTGCTGATGATGCCGTTATATTCGGCGCTAGAAGATACGACGTAAAAGAAGCATGATTAAGTAGAATAAATTGTAAATAAAAATCTTCTTTCCTTTATCAAATATTAAAAAAAATTTATTTCTGTTAAATTTTAAGTTAAACCTATATAGGATCGGTTGCGAGAATACCAGTTATTAAAAATAACAAAATTTTTACTAAATATTGTTTTTTGTTTGCTAAGATTATAGAACATATGGAATTATCTATAAGAGTAAATCGTATTTAAAACAAAAATAATTGTTGCTGTTTTACAGGCAATTCAATAAACGCTATAGTCCGAGTAGATGAAAGACAACAGCTAGTAAAAAGTTTATTATTTTTGATAACCGGCGTTCTAGAAAACCATCCTATGAAGGTCGATAAGAATTTCTTATGTCTATATTCAGAATCAGCATAATGAATAACCTATAACCTGATGATTTTATTAAAAAAGCGGTTGAACACTTAGCAACGCTTTCTTGTCAGACATATCTTTATACTTCAAATATATCTTATAAAAACGAATTAAATTGAATATTTATTTATTAAACTTACAGCAAAGAACAGGAAATCTTTGAATACGACTGTTACCGGTGTCAATGACAATAAGAGCTCCAGTTGAATCAAGTCTGATAGTGTAAGGTAAAAATAGTTGAGATGGTAATACTCCAAAATTATCTGAACCAGCAATGACTCTGCCCGATGTAGATCCTAATGACCATAAAACGATTCGATTATTTCCATAATCCGCAATGTACAATGATCCACTCGTGTCTACAACCAAAGCCACTGGAGAATTAAGTTGATTAAGTGCACTACCAGCCACACGTGATTGTCCGACTACTGTTGTTCCGTTGCTTGTTCCATAAAGAAATTTTTGGATTCTATTATTATTTGTGTCTGCTACATAAAGTGTATTCGAAGCAGATGTATCAATGAATAATCCGTTCGGAGAATTAAATTGATTAGCTTTTGTACCACAACTACCACCCGCAACAAGTACTCCAGTTGATGCATTCATCCACTTCACAATTCGACAATTATCTGTATCAGCTATCCAAATATAGGATGTATTTGGTTCAACGAAAAAACCGTAAGGAGTACTTAGTTGCTTGAGTGAAATACCCAGGCCGTTTCCACCGGCTACAAGTATACCCGTCGATGCTCCTGGGGCCCATTTTGTAATACGATTGCTAAAGGCATCAAGTATATAGACATTACCACTCTGATCCACGCTTATACCATCCACTAAATTAAAGGAAACATAGGTTATATATAAATTATCTGAAATTATTTACTATTATAGAACTGATTGAGACCGGTACCAAAGGTACCGTTAATGATTGTTACTCCTTCTCGATTACCAGGATAAAAAATTTGCACACGACAATATGCACCACAATCTATAACATAAATAGAATCATTGCTACCAATGTAGGCGTCTTCAGAATTATTTAATAATGTTGCAGTGAAACCCGTAAGGCCTATAGGTGAACCAGCAATTGTTGTTGCATTAAATGCCCAAGTAATTATTGCACAATTTGAAGTCGAAATAGGCACTAGTAAAAAAACAAAACACATAGTCTAATATTTATTTTATGAATTTATTTTATGTAGAGTGATAAGTGAAAAATATAGTTATTTATTTAGTAACAAAATTTTTAGTATTGATATTTAAAGAACTATAATCTTCGCTCTTGAGATTCATTAAAAAAGATGTTATTTAAACTACATCTATCTGATTTCTAGTGCCCAAGTTATATAAATCATTGTTCGACATGGAATTATCTGATCATTATTATTAATCAAATAATTAAGATCAATATATTAAATTTTTGTTATTCTCATAAAAGCAATAAACTATTGTCATCGAAAAATATTTCTTATTATCGCGTTAATTGTCTTTTGAAAATTGAGATATTATTTATTTATGTAAGATATCAATTCAAAATCAGTAGAAAATTGGAAAGATTTTTAATATTAAAAGGAATGTCTAATCTACTCAAAATAATATGATACTTGCTTGTCGTAGTTACTACTGGTGCAGCAGTTGTAGTTGATATGTTTATCGCTATAGTAGAAAAAGAATATCAATATATTAAAATAAAATTATTAATCTTAAACAATTCTTACGACAAGAAATAGTAAATCTTTGTATGCGATTATTATAAGTATCAGCAACGTATAGTGTTCCATTCGAACTGAAGCTAATACTACCTGGAGTATTAAGTTGACTTGATGATATTCCTCCATTTGGTTCAGTGCCTGCAATGTTCACACCAAAACTTGCACCTACTTTCCATTTTAGAATTCTCGAGTTGCTAAAGTCCACAATAAACATATTCTGATTACTATCGACAACTATTGCTATTGGATTCCACAGCTGATCGAGTCTAGTACCATAATAACTTGTTATTCCAGCCACCGTTAGTCCACTAGTTGCACCTGGAAGCCACATTTGTATTCTTTGGTTCCAACAATCTACCACATAAAGTGTATTTCCAGCAACTGTATCAACGAATAATGCTGCTGGAAAATTAAATTGATCAGAGTTTGTACCGTAACTACCACAAACTGTTAGTGCTGTAGATGAATTTATCCATTTGACAATTCTATTATTGTCTGAATCAGCAATCCAGATAAACGATGACTGAGGTTCAATAAACATCCTGCCAACTTCACCCATGATGTCCATATGTCCATCAAAGTAATCAATGAAAGGACCACCAGCTACAATAATGCCACTCGTAGATCCTGGTGTCCATTTTGTTACACGTGACAAGGTTCCATCCAGTACATAGATGTTACCATTGGCATCTATATATATATCATCGACTAGAAAAAAGTGTGAAACTGCAATGAGAATATCAATAAAAGCTATCTATACTTACTCTCCATAAATTGATTAAGTCCAGTACCAGAGCTGCCATTAATTATCATTCTACCTATAGTTGAATTTGACGGAAATAATAACACACGATAATTTCCACTATCAGCCACGTAAAAATTACTGTTGTTGTCGACAATAACGGCAACTGGAGTATCAAGTCTTATCAATGTGGTGCCAGCTGTACCTGTTGATGAACCAGCCACTGTCTTCCCAGTCGATGACCAAACAGCCGTTGGACAAATAGACAGAGTCAAGATTTTATCAATTAAAAACCTATCAAAAGTTATTCTTACTATATGATCTAATAAAATAAATCTAATATTTCTTACGCAATAATAATAATTGATTTTATCGAAAGATATTTCAAATATCTTTCAGCCATGATGATTAATATCTAAATGAAATATTATATATATCATATTATTGATTGATTATGTTAATTAATAGAACAACAATGATATACAACAAAATAGTTTAAAATAAATCTTCTTATAGTAATATATTATTTAATAAAAGTAAACAGACGAATACTAGTAGAGTATTATAGTACTTATTAAAGCCGAATAGAATTATGAGACAAGTAGAAAACATATTATTTGAGATTATTCGATGATTAAAAGACTAAAAATATATGAACCTTTTGTTCAACGCCAGCTCTAGCATTAACACTATGACAATATTCTTAGTTTACTCAAATATTCTTATGCATTTTCAGACAATCCGAATTTAAGCTTGTCAATTTTAATGAAATAAAAATATGTAATGTAGATCTATCAGTAGAAAAATATTTTCTATTTCGGTTCAATTTAAAAAAAAATGTAGAAGAAAGAAGAAGAAAAAGCAAGTTTTGTGTTTTATATTTTCTCAATAGAAAACAAATGTTAATTATATTGAGAGGAATCGATTGTGGAAGAAAAGAAAAATTCAGAGAAAAAGCTATATGAATCATAATGAAGATCTAACAAAAAATCGTATACTGGACTTACTGCCGTAAACAATATTCATAAAACGCGCATTGTTTACACGAAAAAAACTAAAACTAATGTTTTCAGTCATCATCTTAAAAAAATTCTTTTCGTCATCCAACCCCCCCTCCTCTCATCCATGGTTACACTACGCATTTATTTTCAACAGAAACACTTTTATGTAATTAAAATCACTTCTTTGTTGTATTTTTATTACTCACAATAAGTAAAATGGAAAAAGTAATCAAAATAATAGAAGGATTTTAAAAAATGGCCATAGGATCGAAGTAATTAATGATTAAAAAAAAAATTCCTACTCTTCGTTTCAACTAAGTAATGACTAGTACTAGAATTGAACTTCATTATGCTTTTTATTTTCGAAAAAAGAGAAAATCAAACAGATGAAGTACCGAGTGAATCTAAATAAATAGTTTACGAAATAAAATCAAGAAAAGATTTGAAAAATAAGTTTATTCATCCCATCGAACTGATTCATGATTCTTTTCAATAAAAAATAAATCAATTACAAAGTTACTGTTTTTAAAACTAAAATGAAATCGCGATATTTCTATAAAATGAAACATACATACGATACTATGTGTTATATCAATAAATCTTCTTTCATAACAAAAAAAAAGTAGTTAATGAGAGAAGAATATCATTTCTTTTATTACTTGTCTTTCATAATTTTTTTTCTTCTAGAAAATGTTTTGCTTTTCAATATGCCTAATTTTATTGTGTAGTAATAAAACTAAAATATGTTTCATATTTTTTTCTATTTTCCCGGAAATAATTTTTTGTTCTGTATAAAGAAAAGAAAAAACAATTTTTTTCAAAAATGATGTTATTATTTTGTTTCCTTTTGCATTTGATCTTTGTTGGTAAAACTGTTTTTAATTCAATAAATATTTTTTTTATCTTCAATATATAGATTTGGACATTTCTTCTTCGTTTATTCTTTAACAAACTAAAATTCAGCAGTTAATAGAGACTCTTTTTTAGATATTATTATAATTGTTTTGAAATGATTTGTTCTTCTTGATCCTTATGTTTCTATGTTAATTTTTTTTATAACAAATCAGTTTCAACTGCCTAATTATATCGGCTTCATAGAAGATACTTTTGTATTGAGTAAAACTAGAAAGATATCTTCCATTCTTTCAAGTTCTTTGTTTTTATTGATATTCTATTCAAAAACATCAAATTTCTTCACACATTTTTATATAAATATTTATTGTAAAATAGATTAAAACTTAAGACAAAACCAATCCTCCATTAACTAAAATATTTTGTCCAGTAATGTAATCTGCTTGTTTGCTTGCAAGGAATGAAACTAAGTTTGCAACATCATTTGGAAGTCCTGTTCGACGAAGTGGAATACCATTAACAAAATCTTTCTTCACCTCTTCTATTGTCTTTCCTCGAAGTTCTGCAAATTCTTTATTAGTACCATCGGTTAATGGTGTTTCAATAAATCCTATTGAAATCCTTTTAAGTTTAATATTTCATAAACGAATAGAAACTATACCTGGACAATAAGTATTAACTGTTATTTTATGTGCAGCTAACTCCATAGCAGCAGATTGTGTAAGACCTCTCACACCCCATTTTGTCGCACAATAATGACTTAATAATGGATATCCTGTATATCCAGCACTACTACAAGCACCAATTATTCTTCCACCAGTACCTTGTTTAATCATGATTTTTGCTGCTTCTCTATAACAAAGAAAAACACCACGCATATTTACTGCAAAAACACGATCCCAATTTTCTTCACTCATCGATATGAGTGGTTGTAATTTACAGATTCCGGCATTTGCAACTACTACCTATGAAAGTAAACAATCAGAAATAAAGAAATAAATAATCAAAAATGAAATATACGTCTAGTCTTCCAAATTGTTGTGCAGCTTTTTGCATCATTTCTTCAACTGATTTACCAGCAGAAATATCAGCTGTTATAGCAATAGATTTTCGACCCATATTTCAATTTCTTTTTGTACTTTTTCAAGTTCAACAGAACTAGCTTCGAGATCATTAATAGCTACATTAAAACCATCTTTAGCAAGACGAAGAGCAATTGCACGACCCATTCCTCGAGCAGCACCTGTTATCAAACTAACACCAACCATTTTTACCAATAACTAAGTGATAGCAAAAAATATTTGTTTTCAAATTAACGATTGTTTAAATACATATTTTTCCCTTCCCAACTGTATTACCTGTACATTAAACACGTGTTAATACATATTATATTAACATCAATAGAGAGAAGAATAGCAATCATACGAAACAAAAGACTATTTTTAAACGATTAAAATAGAAACATATAGAACTTGGATGCATATTATTGAGTAGAAATATATTCGATCAATATGAAATTTTATGCTTTCAATAAGACAATCATTAATTGTAAGACTTCTTGTATTCACAGTTATTGAGAAAGCTAGTTGCTTATTATTAACTACTTTACATAATCCATAGTTTCTTATAACATCAAAGAAGACTAAATATTCTATTCGTACTTTATGACTTTATCATTGACATAGAACAAAGAAATGAAAAATAAAAATATCAACCTTATTGTAGATATATTTTTAATATAGAAGAATTATAAATATTTATGCTGTCTAGTACTCTTATATGATATTCATTTTTTTGTAATCCTTTGACTCTCGACGATTCATTTATGTACGACTAATTAATGTTGTCGTATCTTACTAGAATTCTATAGTCGTAAAACTCTGCTTGTGATCTCTTTCTTATAATGTATGTCAATTTTCTTTCCTTACTGTGTTTTTATGTATATCGTCAGTCTGTGATTTTAGTATTGGCATATACCTCTTGAAATGCTTTTTTCTTGTAGAATTGCCTATCCTTGGGTTATCATTATTTTAGTTTTAGTTAAGATAAGAAAATTCCTTTTTTTTTTGATAACATCTCATATAGAATGGGCCCAGCTGCAGTGATATCTCTATGTGACAAGGAAAAATGATCCAATCTATAGATGAGTTAGATGACAATATGCGTATGACTGATGTCTTTGAGAACTAACATACAACAGAAATTAATAATTTTTGTTTGATAGAGAAATGCAATTTCTTTCTAATATTAAGTCAAAACTGTATTTAATCATCTCCAGACGATGGGACCAACCGGTAAGTTTCATTATATTTTAATGAGAAACTTAATAGAAAAATACTTTTTTTGTCCTTTTTTTTCTTATGTGTAAGGTTACACATAATGTATCATTTACTGTCTCATCATTACTGTCTGAATTATTTATTGTGTAGCGTGATATTTCTCGTTAAAACAATCAAGAACAAAAAAGTCTACCACATACAAGATAGAAGGTTGTTATTTTTTTGTTGTCGTATGACCCCTTTCTCATAGTAGTCAGTACAGTGTCTTGGGGCATTGTGTATTGTTTTTACGGATCGATAGTAATAATTGAGTCAAGAATGTTAGTTAACTTAAATCTAACTTTCAATAAATTCAACAATGGTTTCTATTTGAACAATTTCTCTTGATCTATATGCTTCTTTTTCTTGTTCGAAAAACGAGAAGTTTGACATTATATTTTGTATGACTTCGGATCCATACAATTTGCTTATACTTCAACAGCAGTCTACTTTCCATATTTGTACAAGATTCATTTTAGTAATGATTCTCAAAAATTGAAGCGTTTTCGTTTTCATCAAAGAGTAATTGATCGTTTGCTAAGCCTCTGGATTTATCAAAATGACTCGACATATCGATTAGTTTCACGAACTATGAGCTTAGTAATTTCGTCTATGAATTGATTGCATTATTCTCCGACAATTCTACGATTTTATAGCAAGATCATCATCTAAAGATGACATGTAAACTAGATCAAAATTTCAATTGTTTTGATATAAATAAGAGAAAAAAAATTTGCAATGTCTTTTTATTTCCCACTGCATTATATATGTACATGAAAGAGACAAACAAATATGAATAATTATTCTGCTTCAGGTGAAAGAGAACCATCTATATAACGATAAAAAATACTGTCTAGGAAAACTGAATCGTCTCGAAAGGATTAATTAATAGTATAATTACATACATATTAACTTTTATGTCAAATTCCCAGAGTCCTAAAAAATTGTTGTGATCCCATTGTAAAAGACAAATGAAAATACATCATAATAATTTTAGCAAATATTTAAATAAATAATGCAAAAGACCTTCATATTCATTTATTAGCGATCGTACTTCTACTACAGTCTAGACATAGTTCCTTCCTGCTTTTCATAAACATAAAAAATTTAAATTTTGTCTAGAAATCTCTTTGAATTTATGACAGAAAAAAAATGGCAACAAACAACTCAAATACTAAATGCTTTTTCGAATTTACTATAAAATTTTGTGAAAGAAAAAAAATCTGCGTTCCATCTCTAATCAGATAGTGTAAGTTTAGACATATTACCTTACTTGAATAGTACGCTATACGTATCATATAACGTGTATACGAAAGCAAGCGTGTAATGAAATAGTATTGATGATTGAAGTGCATCGCTTTTTTCTTTCTTTTCTTCAAAGTGACACTATCGACACGTGGATTTTATTCAATGGTCAAACCTTCCATATGTTATTTGATGAAAAATAACTTGAAATATTGTATAGTCAATAATTATTAGATATTTGTGATTCATCTAATAATCATGTGTATGAATAATTTATTTTTGCCAATATTATAGAATAAACATCCTGCACTTTAGCAAAACCATATGTTTTTTTATTATCGGAACATGTAGAGATTTATCTCGTAAATCTCTCAACACTCCACATGTACATGTCTAAGAATTAAGTAGAGCAGAAGCTACTTAAACCAATGAAAGAATTATTTTATTTTTAATAAGAATAAAATAAATTAATTGCAGATTTTGCGTTTATTCTATTGATAAAAAAAAAGAGGAAATAAAAATTAGATCAATAATAAATCTTTATAAATAGAAAAATATAATACCATTGAAATCCTTAGTGAATATTCTATCTATTGAATAATATAACTTAAAATAGTTCAAGATTTCTCTAGAGAAAAACTTATAAAAACAAATTGATATATTTCATTAAAAAAAAATGTTTACTTTAAATATAAATGTTAAATATATATGTAATAGAAATCGATTATACTGAATATTATTCTAAGGTAAATATATCTTATTACTCTCAGATTCTTTCCAAGTAATGTTCTATGTATGTACACTGTCTATTATGAGTAATTTATCAAGGATAGAATCGTTAATGTATATTTGTCTGATCGAGAAATAGTATGATTATTCATTCATGGATTTATAATGTTGCTTTGGCGAATATACAAGGTTTCATTACAATAACAAATTGATATCGTATTAATTATATACCTTGGAAATTCGACTCAAAATTTTAGATCAAATATTTAATATAAAAAAGTTGATTCACGTATAATATACATTATATTACTCATACGAAGAAAATTGACGTTGTTATCATGATATATCTATCTTATTAATTCGATTTTATATGTAATTATTCACAACTGATAGTAATGTTGTTTTTTTGCTTATAATGAATCATTATATTGAAGGTGATATGTATATACGATTAATGTTCGTTTAACATGATAATTTTATTTATTTATTTATTTATTTTTTTAAATAAAGAATCTAAAATAACAAAAATGGTTTTGGGAATAATCCTATCGATGTTATTCATTTCATTTTCTTTTTTTCATATTGAATTATTTTGTATGTTGAAATAAATGTTCAATGCTTTTAAGTGATATTAATCATGCATCAGTTGAGTTGATGAATAAAATAGAAAAATCAACATATATGTGTGTGTGTATATATTAGAAAAAAAAAGAAAGAACGAAGAAAAAATAGAGAAGTAGAACCACTGATGATCATCTTGCACAAAAAACACTACGCACACACAAATAAAGTAAAAACACACTCTGAATTATTAAAAAAAAAAGACAAAGCGAGAACTTAGAGATAGAAAAAAAAAAAGAAGGACAAGTGACAAAATTTTTTTGTTAAACACCAGCCGCCACTGATTCATATTTCGTTCCCTGTGCTGTTCCTGGAGTTACTCCATGTTTTCCTGTGCCTGCAGAACCAGTTTTTGCGGTTGTTGCTGAACGTTGATTCTTTCTAAATTTCTTTCCAAGAATACAGAATATAAGTGCAAGTATAATTCCAATAATGCATAATGCGATTAAACCAATAATTAATATTTTACTCCAAGGCCAATGACCTATAATTATAAATATGATTATTTACTTTGAAAGAAAAAAAACAAATAAATAAACCAAACACCTTCAGATAATTTCGATTTTGAACTACCAAATGGTAGTTCATCAATATGAAGATCAACAAAAACAG